CGCCCGAGGCCCGGGCCGCCGCCTCCCCAGGTGGGCGCCAGAGCGCGAGGCGGAGCCCGGGGTCCAGGCGGGCCCCGCGCCGCTGGAGGCGGGGCCCCTGCGGAGCCGGCTCTGCCGCCCGGCATGCCTGGCGGACCGCGGGCGGGGTCCGGGTTCTGGGCAGCGCTGACCCCCAGACCCCTCCATTCTCCCTGCTCTGCAATGTGAGATCACCTAAGCTGCTGCCGGGCCGCCATGACAGGCCCCGCCGTGCCGGGAGGCCAGGGGGCCAGGGGGCCAGGTTTGCCCCAGGCCGTCCCCCACGTGCTTTCCCCTCCTTCCACTCGGTAGCCCGCGACAGGGGCGGGGGACATGGCGGGTGGGGAGGAAGCCGGGAGGACAGCCAGTCCAGAAAACTGAGATGTTTGAGACTTCTTAGTAAGGCATGAGTAAGCCTGAAGGTGTCTTGAAAATTAGAAAAATGGTTGATGTTATTTTAATAAGAGCAGCATTCATTGAATGAGCCCCCACTCTGCCTTGTCCTATCCCCCTTCACAACAACCTCATAAGTTGGGTGTGTACCCCATTTTACCGATAAGGAAATTGGGGCTCAAAGCCATCGAGGACCTTCTGCAACATAGCACCAGTAATTGGTGCAGTCAAGCCTCCAACCCAGATTTCCTTCTCAAAACCCAGACTATTTGAATAGTAATGACATTATGCGCACCCTCTGAAATGCAGCAACCCTGCTCTGAAATTCTGGGTGCTGATCTGTTTCTGCTCGTCCAGTAGTGCCCCCATCCCAGTGCACGGCTGAGGATTTCCAAATGGTCGACACACTCTTTGTTCTTTGACCAAATTAGGTAACATCTGTCCCGGGCATCCATTTCACCAGGTTTTCTTAACCTCTGCACCCTCTACCCAGGAAAGGCAAGCATACCTCCTGAAGAAACCAGCAAAACCCCCTCCATGTCCGTCGTTCCCCCAAGCTGACCCCATAGCCACACACACACAGCCATGGCACCAACAACTGCTGACACCCAGGGGTCGCTAACTCCCATCCTTGGAAGAAACCCAGCGTATACATGGAGGAAACTAGGGGAAACTCCATGGAAGCAGAAAATCTTTGAGTCAGAGAGCTTATGGAACCCAAATTTTTCATTTTCCTGATGCCAAAATTAAGGCCCAATAAAAAGCACAACTGTCCTGAGTCACATGGTGGGTGTGGTCTCCTGGACACTTTATAACAATCGCCAAGCCAGGACAAAACAGTAGTTGTCCTTAGAGCTAAAGTTAATACTCATCATGATGATAGCTAACATCTATTGATGCTGTGTGCCAGGTAAAGCCCTCACTCACATCCAATTCCCTGAATTATGGTCTGGATCCTATAGGTTTTAAAACAGTGTAATGTAAAAGCATACAGATATGTGGAGGTCATCCCAGTAAAACAAAAAAGACTTATGTATTTGCAGATAACTTGAACTAAAGACATAATGAAAGAAACTTTCATCATCATCATCATCCCTATTTTCATCCAATTCTTTCAGGCAGCCATTTCTCCTCTAAAAATGACACAGTTTGAGCATTCTAACAGGAGAATCAAGGGCTGAAGTTCCTTTCCTCCCTACTTTCAACACCCCACCCCCATACATACACACACATACACACACACACACACACACACACACACGGCAAGCTGGTCTTTTTTGTTAAAGGATAGGTGACAGCTGTGTATATCTTTGGAATCACTGGAAATACTTTTTCCCAATATCATATCTGGCTGTACTTCCCAGCATAAAATTTTAACCTCAAGAAAGAGTATTCATTGGTTGGAATGAGATCTTAATTGTGTTTCCCCTCTCCAGGCATTTTCTCACTTAGTAAAAATCTAGGGAGTATCCATTTACATGCTTTATGCTCTTCCTCTAATCCCTATGGGTAAAAATTATAATGCCTGCAGTCATCAGGGGCCAAAAAGAAAAGAAGTCTCTGAGGAATGAGAACCTAAATAGTTTTGTCTTGTAAATTATTGTTAAATATTTAAATTATGCGCAGATACCTTGAGGATCTGTACCAAGAATTATTAGAATTAGCTCATTCACATTTTTGAAGCAAGCAAACAAAAGAATTAGTTTTTTAATCCAAGAGGTTTACAAAAAATGATGCTAAATAAAGCATTATACAATATAAAAGTCTGAAGACTATCAGACCTAGTACAGCCTCAGAGAATGCAGAGGCAGCCTTCTATCAAAAGGAGAGTTAAAAAAAGATGTTCCTTCCCATAAAGACAGAGTTTGCTGAAACAATAAGTTCAATATCTTGGTACCAAGCAGCAGGTTCTCCCAGAGTGGCCCTTGTTCCTTTTACCTTGTGCCTATAAAATTCCAAAGGAAACAGTCTGTCTCCTGGCTCCTCCCCCACTCTGAGCCTTGTCTGCCCCTTTGCACCTCCCTCACCTGCCTCTCCCCAGGGATCCTAGCCTTCCTACCTCTCAAGAAAAATGTGTCCTTGTTTTACTCTCCCTTTCTTAACAAATCAAATTTCTTAACCCTTTATAGTGGGAAGGATAATACACATACAGGAAAGAAGTTCACAAACAGAATTGCATGATGACATCACAAGGCAAACACTAATGTCAGATTATGAAAAGCATTATTGTCAGTCCTCCAAAAGCCCCTCCCACCAATCCAGACCTTCATAACAATCAACTCGTATTTTAACCTTAAGTATCCATCCCTAAGCACAATAGTTTGTCTGGCATTGACCTTTATAGAAATGGAATCATACAGTATGACCCTTTGGTGCTTGACTTGGTTCCCGTAGCATATTATTTGTGATATTCTTCCATGATTTTACAAGTCGATGCAGTTTTTTGGGGCTTTTTTTTTTCATTCTATTGTATGTGAATACCACAGTTTATCTATTCTACTGCTGAAAGACATCTGGGCTATTTCCAGTTTTTGACCATTATTAATACTGCTGCAATGAACATTTGGCACACTTTTGGTACACAAGTGCATGCATTTCTGGATGGTCTACCTACAGTAGTCGCATTGTGAGGTTGTGATATGTGTAATGTTCTGCTGTGGTAGATACTGCCAGTTTCTCAAATTAATTATGCCAACTTCCATCACCAGCAGCAATATATGTTTCCCAAGTTCTTCCATCCTTGAAAATTGGATTATTAGGATTTTTACGAGGCGTTCTGGTGAGTGTATAGCAGAATCTCATGGTGGAATTTGACTTTTCTTTATGACAGATGGGGTTGAGCCCCTTTTCACTTGATTATCTCCATTTGGACAGCCTCTTTTGATAAGTACTAATTCAAGTCTCCTGCCCATTTTTATGATGGGGTTGCCTGTCTTTTTTTTATTCTTTTTTTAGGAGTTCTTTTTGTTATTCTACTTACCAGCTCTTTGTTAATTATTTTTTGTAAGTATATTCTGCCATTCTGTGTCTTGCATCTTAGACCACTTATGGTATCTGTTGATAAACAGAAGTTCTTAAGTATGATATAAGCAAATTTATCTTTTTATAATTATATTTTATGTACTGCTTAGAAATTTTCCCTAAATATTCCAAATATTTATTGTTTTTACCTTTCACATTTAAATCTCTGATCCACCCGAGACTGGTTTATTTTTCTTATGGTATGAAGGTGTAGAAGTTGTTCTTATTTTTTTTCCATATAAATAGGTAATTGTCACAGCCTCATTCATTTAAAGGATTATCCCTTCCTCACAACTTTGCAGTGCCTCTTTTGTTATAATTCAGTTATTCATCTATCCATGGGTCTTTTCTGGGCTCTCCTGTTCCATTGGTTTATTATCAATATTTATGCCAATAACCCATTGCCTTAATTGCTATGATTTATGAAATTCTTAGTGCTCAGTGGAGCAAGACTTTTCATTTTGTTCTTTAATGTTTTAATTGTAAAATTAGCTTCACAAGTTCTACAAAGACCTGCCGGGATTTTGATTGGATTGCATTAAGTCCATTACATCAGTTTGGAGAGAAATAATATATTTTTAAAATGACATTCCCAATCCATGAAATTACTATATCTTTCCATTTGGTTATACAGTTGACCATTGAACAACACAGATTGGAACTGTGTGGGTCCACTTATATGCTTTTTTTTTTTTTGCAATCAACAATTTGAAAAAACTCCCAAAAGAACTGTGTAGCCTAAACAGATGATGTAAACTGACAGTCTAGATAAGTATAGTACCGGGTTTGTACAATAAATATATTTTCTTTCTTATGGTTTTCTTACATAATTTTCTTTTCTCTAGCTTACTTTATTGTAAAAATATATAATACATATACAACTTAGGTATTCATCCACTGTTTAGGGTATCATTAAGGCTTTCAGTCAACAATAAGCTATTAGCTGTTAAGTTTTGGGGAAGTCAGAAGTTACATGGGGATTTTCTCAGGGTCAACTGTGTCTTTAATTTGCTGCAATCATGTTTTATGGTTTTCTGCATAGTTACCTTGCACATATATTGTTAGACCAGTTCTTAGATATTTAATGTTTTTATACTATTTTAGATAACTTTTTAAAATTTGATTTTCTATCATTTGTTATGATGAGAAAAACGACTGATTTTTGTATTGATCTTTTCAATCTACATAATTACTTTCAAATTTTAAAAATTTAACTGAAAACATATTTAGGTTTTCCATATACATGACCATTCTATAATTAATGACAATTTTCTTTATTGTCTCTCTAATTTTTATTTTCTTTATGTCCTTGTCTAGTCTTACTATACAGCTTAGGAATTTCAGTACAATGTCAAGTAT